TGGCGCATACCTGTTTGTTCTCTAACTTTATTGAGAGTACGTTGTTTAAATTTAGTGAGATTCCTCAGTATTCACTAAGGACATGAGAGTTTGCCAACTGGTGTATTTCAGCAGATGTTATTCAGAGCATTTGTTATAGAGACACAAAAACCAATCCCTGGGGACCAGCAGTTAGTGTGATAGCTATGTCACTGAACTCCCATGTAGTCGACCACAGTTCAATTCCCAGACCCGGTGGCTTAAACTCACACTGGGCATGTATGCGTGCGTGCCCAAGATCCTGAGAGGAGAGTGGAGGAGAAGGGATTTCAGCATGACCATCCCCCCTGGGGGGTGATTTCTTGCTTTCTGTCTCTCTTTCTCTCTCTCTTTTTCTGGTGAGTGCATGCACCCCGTAGCAAAAACCTCCCCCCCCCCAAGAAAAAAAAAATCACTGGTCTTTTATCTGTTATATAACTTATTTTAGTCACATTTAGATTACCAGTTGGGCCAAATTGTGAACTTTTGTTTCAGTTTTTGTTGACTGCTTGTTTTCTTCCTATTATAGACTGAATGGTGTCCCCCCACTCCTTCACCCCATTTATATGTTGAAGGCCTTACCCCATGTGGCTGTATTTAGAGACAGGACTTTTTTGGGGGAGAGGCTTTTGCTATAGGGTGCCTGAAAGACAGAGACAGAGAGAGAGAAATCCCCCCCCAGGGGGATGGCCATGCTGCAATTCCTTCTCCTCCATTCTCCTCTCAGGATCTTGGGTGGGCACACACGCACACTAGCCTGGCGTGAGTTTTAGCCACCGGGTCTGGGACTTGAACCACTGTCAACTACATGGCGTCTGTTTCAGCCACCAGGTCTGGGACTTGATCCACTGTCAACCACATGGCGTGAGTTTTAGCCACCAGGTCTGGGACTTGAACCACTGTCAACTACATGGGAGTCCAGCAACATAGCCATTATGCCAACTGCTGGTTCTGAGACAGGACTTTTAAAGGTTAAATTAATGAAGTTACAAGGGTGAGGGCCTACCCTGATAGAATTTGTATCCTTATAAAAAGAGAAAAGCTAGAGATTCTCCCTCCCCCACACCCACCCCCACTCAGCAGAAAGGCCAAGGGAGGATATAGCAAGAAGGCAGCCACCTGCAAGCCAGGAAGAGTGGCCTCAAAGAAGAATTTCCATAAGAGTAAAAAGGTGTCCTTGGTGATTCGTTTTTAATTTTGTTGTTTGTTTATTTTTACATATATATTTGTCCAGGGCACTTAACTCCTCAGTGTTTAAATTGTAAAAGAATATTGTATAGCTGAAAGCCAAACACACATTCTAAAACAAAGTGTGTATACAAAACACAGTTTAGAGTATAGCAGATTATTAGATACACCATAGAGTATTAAATAAATCTGGTATTTTAAGTGGGTGATGATATGTAAGGTAATGTTTTCTGAGAATTTATGAGTTGAACTGACTCTATTAAAAAATAGTCAGGGGTCGGTGGTTTGCATAATAGTTATGTCACTGGACTTCCATGTAGTCGACTCTGGTTCGGGTCCCAGACTGGTGGCCTAAACTCACGCTGGGCGCATGTGCATGCATGCCCAAGATCCTGAAAAGAGAATGGAGAAGGGATTGTGGCATGGCCATCCCCCCTAGGGGGAGTGATTTCTCACTTTCTGTCTCTCTGTCCCTCTCTGGTCAAATTAAAAATAATTAATTAAAGTTCAGTAAAATGATTCTTTAAAAAAAAGTCAAACCCAAAATTTTGGCTTCTGTAATAATATAAATGATAATTAGAAGGTCATTTTAATAGAAATATCAGGGAACTTCAGCATCAATTTATTAGACAGAAATGGACCTTTTGTCATTTAAGTATGAAAATACAGTAGTAAGTACACTAAAATTATTTCATTTACTTTGTCAGTTTTCAGTACCAAGTAAATCACATGTGAAATGAACACTGTATTGTGTAACGCTGTGAGGGAGACAGTGTGTGTAGGTTTCTTTAAAATAGAGTGTGCTTCGCCCTGCACCTCCCAACCCCTGCACCCCGAGTATAAAAGATTTTCAAAGGCACCAAATCTTTGAACATGGAAGGTTTTATGACAAAAATTCATTCCAAAGGGACATTATTTGGAAATATAATTCACATTTTCAAATCAGTTCTTATTTTAGGAGATGTATTTTTGGGTTGTTACATAAAAACGTTGAATAATTTGAAAACTTACTTTTCATTTTGTATTCAGTGTGGAGATTTATTCCCAGAGTGGGGCTTTTCTGATGCAAAATTGGAATGCTGTGTAGTCACCACAGCTGTCCCCCACACCATGTGGCATCTCCCATTACCTTACTGGAGAGATGAATTTTTGGCCCAGTGTTTCAGTGATATTGGACACACATGGTTTCAAGTGGCAAAGCCATATGCTTATGCATTCACACGGCTCTCCCAGCTCCAGTTGGCCCCAGACTAGAACAGGGAGAACACATTCTCACTGTGGCCGCCCTCACGGCTGCCGGAGTCCCTGGATCACAGTAGGTCGTGTTGCTTCTGAAGACACGACTCACTATTGCTGAGGAATTACGCAGTCCCTAAGGTGCCTTACAGCTGTAGGAGCAACAGTAATGAATTGCTGAGGGGGTTCTCTCAGATTTCAGATGGTAGTCCTATTATTATTGATCTTTTTAAAATATAAATAATAAAATTCGTGGCCAGGAAATAACTAAGAAAACTAAAGAAAAAGATTGTCACAGGTGGTTTTTTAAGATTTCAGTCTAGATATTTTATTTAAAATTTTTCCTTTCCAGAAAAATAGTAGTACGATACTTTGGACTCCCATCAACAAGAAATGAAAATCAAGTTGGTTTGTAGTGCTCATTGTTCATGTGTGCAGCATATTTGGAAAGCTAGTTCTGTTCAGAATGGAAATTATTTTGAAGAATTCATTTACTTTGGGAAACAAATCATTTATATTTTTGATATTTTAGACAATTTTGTTTGCTCAAAAATGTTTTAAAATTAATGCAAAAATTAAATGATTTGATCTGGTGTGAAATTGCATTGTTATGTAGTTTGAATACTATGTCAACATATATTTTTATCAAATTAAACTTAATGCTCTTCGTGGTATGATTTTGTACTGTAAATGTTAATAAAACAACACTTTTTACATTTTGGAAATCAGTTGTTATACCTATTAAAGCTTTAGCTTTTAGGAATAAAGCTATGATTTCCTTGGAAGTCCAGTTATGTTCCTCTAAATAGTATCTGAATAAGAATTTTTTTTTTCCTTAAATAAAATAAGAATTAAAAAGCGAAAAGAACAATCTCTCCTTGTAAATGTTTAAATCATCTCATATGGAGATTTAGATTTCTGATATTCATTAAATATCAAAGAAATTTCAGCCAGACTCGATGTAGGCTACCTTTATAGAAGTGAATCTATGCATGTATTGTAGGGGCTGTACTGATGAATATGTTTGAGGCTTTCAGCTCTTAGTGGATACAAAATAGAATGATTGATAAAATCCTCCCTACTATTGGCTATTATTTACTGACTCTTAAGTGGCAGGTTGTATTTATGCCAATTTATCTGCTTCAGGGAACATTCTTGATAGCAGAACAAAGTGAATGAAAGTAGTTTGCTTTGCAAATGAATGCAAATGGGAGAGCCTTTCGGAAAGCCCTTTAACAGGGGCAGTGCACTTTGATTATGAGTGAAGCTGCCATTTGGACATGGTGAAAAGAGCACGCTTGAACCATTGATTGGGGGAGACAGTAAAAAGTCAGGAAGGGCCCCGTTAAGCTTGCAGTGAGGCAGGCGGATGTCAGTGTGGTTAGAGCACAGTGGGAGAATGACAGGGAGGATTAGTGTCAGGGAGAAGCTTTGCTGTAGCTGTGGAGATAGTCCCTGGGGTCACTCACCTCTGACTGTTGTTCTGTGCTGATGGCTCTGTAATGCAAACTGCCTGATGTATGCCTGTTCATTATCGGAAATGGTGATTAGAAAAGGTATTTGTCTCAAAGGTTTCCTTCTTTCTTTCCTTTTTTTCTTTCTTTTTCTTTCTTTTTAATTAAAGGAAAATAAGATAGGCTTCCACAGACTCTTTGCTGACTACTAGAGTTTTGTTTAACAGAGTAGTTACTGCCTCTGGTGGGGGATAGTTTAGTGCTAAAATGTAGTGTGAAGTAATTGTAATATGGTTATTTGATCGTTTCTTGTGCTTTGCTCAGTTTGGTAGTGTTGAAGGAAATGCAGAGAATATGTTTGCTTTTTGCTTGTGTGATTTTGTAGTCTTAAAGGTGCTCGATTTTTCAGTTTAATTATTCGGTCAATTTTTAATAGGTGTTTACCTTCTCAACAATGAAATGCAGCTGTGCATGGACTCGATAGCTTAAATCTTGATCAAGAGAGTTTCTAAGTTTGTTCCCGAGTTTTGTACAATATTAGCATTTCTTAAATAGCTTTAAAATACATCATTTTAAAAATTGGATATTGTTACATAGAACAAACAAAAAATGTCTCTCTGTCTTGGTTCTGATTCTAAACCTAGTATATTATTCATATTTTCATTTATACTTGTAAGATTTTTTTCTGCTTTTTTTAAAGTATATACATTAATACATTTTAACTTTAGGACCTTTAATAGTAGTATTATATGAGATCTTTACAGGCAGTATTGCATTTTGTAGCAAGAATGCATTTCATAAGCTTTGGAAAGAATTTCTCACTTTAATACAAAACTAGTGTTTTTAAAAATGCCTTCAAAAGCCTGATTTTGCAATATTTCTGCTTTCTTATTTGGTATAACGATTCTCAAAGAGGTTGCCGGAGCTTTGCATTCTATTATCAAATATGCAACTCAAACTTTTCATCTGAGCCGTTAGGTGCATTTAGTAGTGTTTTTTTGTAGAATGCATATTGCCTATATATAGTTGGCTTCCCAGGTTTGGTGAATGTTTTAGCAAACGTCGTCCCGATTATCTTTTTTAAATTTTCTTAATGTTTTGCAGGCACCAGAATGGACAGAAGAGGACCTCAGCCAGCTGACAAGAAGTATGGTTAAGTTCCCAGGAGGAACCCCAGGTCGATGGGAAAAGATTGCCCACGAATTGGGTCGATCTGTGACAGATGTGAGTTCACTCAGATTTGCATTGTACAGAGAGTGACAAACGAGAACAAGTCAGCTGTGTAGACGACAGGCATAGATAGGTTCAACATTATCTTTGGAGAAAGACTACAGTCCTTTTAGGACCAGAGAGCAAACCATTTGTGAAATAAGTGGTTGTGAGCCCACCCCAAGTCCTGGTTACCAGCGATGGGAGGAATTCTAGTGTTTGGAGACTTAGGCCACTGTAACCTGATCACAGAAAAGCAACCCCAGGTTTTGTGTTTATACTGACCCCTCTAATTGGGGAAAATATTGTTCAAAACTGATCAAAATTAGAGAGGTACTGTTTTGGTCAGATCTTTTCAGTTTGCTACTGGTATTTAGTCAAACAGTTTGGATTAATTAAATGAGCAGTATTTCTGTAATACAAATGAGTGTTTACTCTTTTATTTTGATGATAATACAATATCTATTTTGAAAAGTTATTTAACCAGAAAAATATATATATATATATATATATATGTATATATATACACATACACACACACAGATACATAGACACATGTATACATGTGTACATATATGTGTGTGTATATTGAAAAAGTAATAACATTTTTCTGTTTTTTGTGCAAAAATGCAGTGAGTTTTCCAACAACCCAATATATGTACATGTACATAGGAATGGCCATGCATAATATTTAAAAACAAAGTATTTCCTTGGAAAGGTTTTGACTTAACACTTTGAGTATTTTTATTCAGGAAGTTTCAAGCAGAGAATCTTTTTTTTTTTGGAGAGATTTTTGCTATAGGGCGCGTGTGCTCACCAGACAGACAGAGACAGAAAGCGAGAAATCACCCCCCCAGGGGGAATGGCCACACAGCAATCCCTTCTCCTCCATTCTCCTCATGGGATCTTGGGCATGCATGCACATGCGCCCTTCATGAGTTTAAGCCACCGGGTCCGGGACTCGAACCATGGTCGACTACGTGGAAGTCCAGCAACATAGCCATTACGCTAACTGCTGGTCCCAATATAAGCATTATTTCTAACTTTAGAAAAAGTGACACCAACTATATTTTAACTCAGATATACCTAAACTGTCAGGCCTATTTATTATGGATGAAATATTTTAAATGTTAATACATGCCTTTCAGCAAATAATTTGGGTAACCACAAAGGACACACAAATTGTAAAAACAACAGAGGAAACAAAAACTGTCTGACATAGAAAACCAACGTTAATGTGATTATTAACTGCAGGTTTTCTAAATTAGGGTCAGAGAGCCTCAGATTTCTTCCATGAGAAGTAATATTACTTTCTTGCCTGAAAGGATGTAAACTGATGCTGCTCCTCTCCATGGTCACTAATCTCTTGCATTCTGTGATAACACACTGACTCGAGGGTTTCTGCCTGCTCGGAAAAGTCCCAGGTAGGCAGCAAAACAAAGGACAAGTGGCGAAACTCAGACTTTTGTGGCTATTTTCAAGTCACAGTGTGCAAGAAGAGGTGTGGAGTTGAGTGAGGAAGAGGAGGGCAGGTAATACAATTCCTGGTGTAAGCTTATATAGGTATACTAGTGGGGAAACAGAGGAGATACCTTTTGAGGTGAATTTCTTTATTTTTGTTATGGTGGTTGTTTCAGAAACACCTAAGTAGATTGTTTAAAATAAGCTTTATTGTTTATCAGTGAATTAAGTGTATAGTTATTATTTTAACAAATATTTTACTGTTGAGAGTCAGACTAGCCCTGTGCAAAATTGTGAAAATGACAAGGATTATCCTTTTGGTTTACTGGGGATTTAAAACATTTTATTTGGGGTTTGCCATAGAGCATGTGTGCTCTTCAGAGAGAGAGAGAGGGAGAAGGAAAGTGAGAAATCACTCCCCGGGGAGATGGCCGTGTTCCAATTCCTTTTCTTCCCTTCTCCTCGCAGGATTTTGGGCATGCACACACACATGCCCAGTGTGATTTTCAAGGCGCCGGGTCTAGAACTTGAACTGTGGTTGGCCACGTGAAAGTCCAGTGCTTTAACCACCATGTCGCTTGCTGGCCCCTCGGTTTTCTGTTTCTCCTCACTACCCCTCTCCGGCCTCCTGCCTAGCAGGTCTCTTGCCTGAGCCTGATCTCATCCTCCTCTCCTTCCTTTCTCCCTTACCCTCTCAAGTGGACACGTTTTGAAGATACTTAAAGTTTAGAAAAAAATTTATTCCTTTTCCTTGCTAAATGAATCACGAGCTGATCTAATAACCAATTTTTATTATTACTAGATGATGATAATGTGTTACCAAATAACTTGTATGCACATGTATTTAATGGAAGTCTTCATTATTATTCCAAGAATATGAATGATTGCTGTAAGATTGCAACTTAACTGCCTATTTTTCTAAATTATTTATTCAATTTTATTTGTTCATTCACTTTTTTTTGAATTATTTAATGTTATTTATTCATTCATTCATTCATCTTATTTTAATTTGACCAGAGTGAGACACAGAGAAAGAGAGAAAGTGAAAAAGCAAGTCACCAGATCTGGGATGCGAATGGTGGTTGGCTATGTGGGAGTATCCAGCACCTTAACCACCACGCCACCTGCTGGTCCCTCATTCATTTATTCTAATTTGACCAGAGAGAGAGAGGGGGAAAGTGAGAAAGCAAGCCACCAGGTCTGGGACTCGAACTGTGGTTGGCCATGTGAGAGTGTCCAACACCTCAACCACCACACCACCTGCTAGCCCCTATAACTGCCTATTTGAAGGAAAGAGAAGGCAGTGTTATTTCCAAGTAGTAACCTCTGACCATCAGATCAAATGACATAATCAATTGCTTAATCTCTCTATTGGTCTGATTATAGTTTTGCAATATCATATGATTCCTCGGGTAGAAGCTGATAAATAGATTTGCCTTCCATGTCACCCTTTCTGTCTCAGCATTAAGGAAAATCACACATAGGACATGATTATAAAGTATATATTCACCACATAAGACTAACATTGCACACTCACTTAAAAGATCAGACTTTTTTTTTTTTTTTTTAGGTTTTTGCTATAGGGTGTGCACTCAGCAGAGAGAGAGAAAAAGTAAGAAATTACCTCTGGGGGTATGGCCATGCCATAGTCCCTTCTCTTCTACTCTCCTCTTGGAATTTCGGGCATGCACACATATGTACCTGATGTGTTTTTCAAGCTTCCAGGTACAGGACTCAAACTGTAGTGTCGGCTATGTGGCACCCAGGGCCTTAATCACCATACCATCTGCTGGCCCCAAATCAGACTGCTTTAGTGATAATATTGGTTATTCCATCATTCATTTTTGTAGTATTTTACACTTTCAAAATATTTATGATTTCACTTGATCTTTCCAACGACACTGTGAGGTCGACAGTCATTATTTAACTTCATCTTGACAGCTCAGTAAGCTGCTGATAAGATATTTGTTTGAGGGCTGGCAGGTAGCGTGGTGGTTAAGGGCTCTGGACTTCCACATGGCCGACTGTGGTTCAAGTCCCAGACCTGGCGAGCTTGCTTTCTCTCGCTCTCCCTCTTTTTTTTCTCTCTCTCACTCTGTCCCACTACATAAATAAATACATAAATAAATAAAGTTAAGTAAAATAATTCTTTTTTTTTAAAAAAAAAGATACTTGTTTGAGATGTCACAACTATTTATGGAACTGAGACAAAACCAAATTTTTGTGGGAGGTTTTTTGTGTATGTTTTTCTTTTTAGTTTTGCTACAGGGCACATGTGCTAGTATGATTGGAGAGAGAGCAAGCGAGAGAAAGAAAGTGAGAAAGCACCCCTGAAGGAGGATAGCCATGCCACAGTCTCCTCTCCTCCACAGATTCTGGCCATGCACATAGGCACGCTCAAGCGTCGGGGTGTCCTTCAAGCCGGTGGGTCCAGGACTCAAACTACTCAGTTATGTGGCATTCAGCCACCCCAACCACCATGCCACTGGCTCACTCCCTAAACCACATTTTTAAAAATTTCTTCATGAGCAAGGGTAAGAGGAAGGAGAGGGAGCACATTTCCAGTAAGGTCTTTTTTTGGAGAGGTTTTTGCTATAGGGTACGTGCACTCGCCAGAAAGACAGAGAGAGATGAGAGACAGAAAGCGAGAAATCACCCCCCAGGGGGGGATGGCCACGCCATAATCCCTTCTCCATTCTCCTCTCGGGATCTTGGGCACACATGCACACGTGCCCGGAGTGATTTTAAGCCACGGGGTCTGGGACACGAACCATGGTCGACTACGTAGGAGTCCAGTGACATAGCCATTACGCTAACTTCTGGTCCCTCCAATAAGGTATTATTATTATTATTATTATCATCATCATAATCTTTATATTACATTGGATTACATATAACTTTACAGTGTATTACATTGCTTTTTCAAAAGGGAATGCCATGCATGTCAGTCAATACCGAGACATTAAAACCCCCACTTTATCATTCAATATCTTCTCATTGTTTTTCTCATTCATTATTATCATTATTCCAATTATTTTTTTAACCAGTCAATCACTGTTTCTTGTTTTGCTTGTAAAAAGACTTTACCCATCATGAAATACTTCTCAGACCCATCCAGTTGAGAAAACTATACACGTCATCATCAACAGGTAATAAACCATATCTGTGTCCCTCTAATGTCATGCCTCTCTATTTGTTCTCTTGCTATCTTTCTCTATCCTCTTCTCTTTCTCCCCCCATTCCACACTGTCTTATTCTCCTTAAGTATTTTCACTGCTTTTATGTCCTCCAATATTTCACTCTCTACCATAGAGTGCGGATAGTTGGTATATATTAAGTGGATGCATGCAATATCTTTCTTTCATGTCCTAGCTTACTTCACTCAGCAATAGATCCTCCATATCTGACTACTTTCTATCAAATGCCAAGGTCTTGTTATTTTTTATGGCTGAGTAGTATTCCATAGAGTATATATACCACACTTTTCCAATCCATTCATTGGTTTGTGGACATTTAGTTGGTTCCATGTCTTGGCACCTCCAATAAGGTCTTTA